TTCATCTCCAGAACATTTGTGTGTCTCGGGATTTCTCAAGGCAAGCTCCGGGAGGTCTTAGCCAAGCTTGGATGGACCGTTCCCTCAGCCACTTTTGAGCATACGTTAATGAGACTCTTTCCCGTGGTTCTGGACGGCTACTTTGGATTCGACCTTCTGGTCAAGAGACCACTGCAGCGAGAACTATAGTCTCTTGCACTAAGACACACGAACCACTGCCAGGACTCCTTTGGATATCTCATACCTCGAATATATCTCTATCCCACGACTCTGATAGGCCGGGTCCTGCAAACCGCTTCTGAAAACCGCTTCCGTCATTATCGCCAGGGTCGTTCGCTTGTTTTGGACATTACAAGACAATACCCCGACTCGAAACATTACGTGATCCCACATCTAGCCCATAACCCGCGGCTGGCGTGGAACTGGACCACCCAGACAAGCTTGGCCATTTGGGTTACTGTCGATAGTTAAGGAATCGTGGACTGGGACCAGGTCTGGCACAGGCCGTGACCAAATCAATGGATCCGACAAACAACGGGCGGCCGCCCTACCCTCCTCTATATGATGCTACATTCTCACCATCCGATCCGCGGCGGGAGCTTGGGCATCATGCACCAGTACCACCCATGTATTGGCCTCCAAACCAGAATGCCGTTCCTCCACTCTACTCCATGTACAGCCCGTATCCGCCTAATCTCGATCCGCCTCATCAAATGGGCTTATCCGGTGGGCTTCCGCTGCCCGATACTGCGCCTCGGGGCTATCTGCCATACCCTCACCCGGTGCCATTGCCACATGCTGCACCGTGGAACGACTCCTTTTCGCAGATGCCAGGTCCGATCCAAACAAACCATGCGAGCATGCCTCACGGGCAACCCAGGTCCGCGTTTGGACTGCCAACGTCTGTTGCTCCAGCAGAAAATGAGTTAGGGCAGAGCGGCCTCGCGATGTCACCAGATGTGCCACCTCATAGCATCTACACATCGCAACATCACGTGGCCGTTCATCCAGACCACGTTGTTCCGCACTCAACGACTTCTCTGCAAACTCCCAACTCGTCATCGTTCCGCCGTTCCAACTATACTGCTTTACCAGGGATTAATTCTCGCGCCTCGCGTCCTCCCCTGCCATCTACTCTCTGTAGGTACCCCATTTTTGTTCCACCCCCTTGAATCTTTCAAGGTAGTGCGTTTGAAAGGCTATGCTTGTTCCTCTACTGACCAGTTGCTAGATGGCTCTTTATCACATCAATACGATCCATCTGGGTTGGCGCCACACGCACACCGAAGAGCGATTCAGTCGAGAGCCCGGCGTTCGTTGACCACACGCCCGCCATCAGACTCAATCAGAGAGACCGAGGAAAGTGGCACAAATGCAGCAGTCGACCAATTACTGGATCAGGTACTGGACGAGGGCACAGCAAGCAATACCGCCAGGCCCACCGCCCGACAGACGCAGGCCACTGATAGCATATCACGAAAGACGGCTTGGAAATTCGCACACTACGTCTTGAAAAAAGTCGAGATTCAAGACTTGGCCGAAAGCGAGAGGAGTGAGTATTGTAGCCGCTTCCCCTCCTTGTAAATCGAGAGCTAACAGACGTACAGCATGTGCTATTTGCTACAATGACTACGGCACAGAGTCTCCTGAGGGGTTGTGCGAAGAGCCATTGCGATTGCCAACATGTAAGCATGTATTTGGAGACCATTGCATTTCCAGATGGTTTGAGGAGTCCGAAAGTTGTCCATACTGCCGCAGAGACTTGGAATTGTATCCCAAGCACTATCTCGGCCGCACTCCCGCCCAAACCTTTTTGGCAATGCTAAGGGCCCATGGCCAGATTTCTAGCAGGTTAGTTGGACCTTCGTCTTTTCTCTTCCTCTCTGCCCCTTCTTCCTGTCGTCGATCCGGACGGAAAGTTGGCTAACCGTGCTACCATAGGATGACGGAGGAAGTCTACCTGAATCTCATCGCCAACTTAGAGCAGGATGACGACGACATGGTTGAACCTCGAGAGCCTGAAGCGCCGGAAAGCGATACTCCCCATGCCAGCAGAGACTCCGATCCTCCTTCCAACAATGCTTGGACTTCATCTTCGTCAAACTCCACGAATTGGCCGATGCGTAACCCCCTGCGGGAAGGTGGGAGGTACTCTCAGTGGCTCCCAAGAGCATCGCCGCAGCGAGGGGCACACCCTCCGTCGAGCCAAGAAAGAGAAGCTCCCAGGCAGCGCAGACAAAGATTTTCACGCCTCAATTTTGTGCCAGGTGCAGGGAATGCTGAGGGCGATCTGACAAGCCCCGTACGCTCACCATTGCAGCCCCTACGACCAGATAGCCAAGCCCAAGCGAGCACGACGATTTCGAGTACGAGGCCTGAAAACAGCGACAGGGCCAGAACATTGGCGGACGCCCAAGGCAATACAGGTGCTGAGTATGGAGATTATACCCAATCGCCGGCGTCGACGTCTCCGAATCGACTGAGGCCGTGGTGAAGAATTGGCTCTGTTCCACGCTCAGGGAGGTGGTGGTAATAGGCCGGTTGCTACCAGCCGACAAGCACTAGAGAGTATACAATGGCTAGCCATCCTTGCAATATCTTCTTGAATTATCATTTTTTGCTCTTTTATTCCCATGTCTTCCCTCTTTCCTTGTCGAGCGAGCGAGTTCAGCGATAGGTTGGGTGGTACTACTAGGTGCCTTTGGGGTAGAAACTTGACCAAGTCGGTACTACATGGTTAATATCTTCAGCGCAGCTGATACAAGCGTACATGTGAAGACAGGCAGAGGTGAGCATCACATACTTTACAGTAAGGTAGCTGCAGGTAAGCCGTATTATACTGTTGGTGTTGAGATAACCTAGCCTTAGTCAAGCGCGGCGACTATGATGGGCTTCTTTCAGCCTGGGTAGAAGGCCTTCGTTCAACCTACCAGAACACCTTGTAATATGATTACGCATCAACTCTCGGCCCTACATACAAAGGCTCATGCGTGCAGTTTAAGATAAGTCGCCAGTGAACATTCTAGGCAATTCATTCGAGTTGAGCTTGTACAAACGACGGAGACCGGACGTTTCCCAAATGGGTGGAACGGAGACGGAGAGGGGCGAAAGTTGATCGAAAGCCGGCCCGGCGGGTCGATTGCGGCCGACGGAATGGCGGACTTGATTTCTTCTTGATTGTTGTCTTTTATGCATGCGCCGGGGCTTGAGCCGGCGGCGGCGGCGGACAGGTTTGGTTTCATTGGAATTTTTCGAGTTGGAGAAGGCATATCCTTTGCGGACTTTGGCGCTGGCGATGCATGTATGGGGGTGTGATGGCACGGCATTGGTCTTTGATGGAGGCGTTGCGGAACTCTGGGAGAGGAGTGGCTGTATAAGTGCTGAGACAAAATGGAGTTGAAGTCCACCTTATACTAGACGCTATTTTAAGTTGCTGTTCGAAATTATCGAGAAGAATGATGGGCGGATGTATAAAGTAGAATCGTCATCTATTTATGGAGGCCGATTCGGATGGTCGGCGGTGTTGTAGTGACGCTTGTGCCTCTGTCAGCCACTACCTACAGATCATTGCTCTTTTATTTCTTTCAGGGCACTTCGGGTCATGATAGCAGCTAGGATGCTAGGTAGGCCTTCTGCATACACTTCCAGTCGAAGCACTACGAGTTTGTCGGAGCTACGGACTATGCTTGAAAGCTACAGCAACTTTGTAAGAACCTAACCTAGATTATACTCCATAGAAGAAGCTGAAAAGGAAGGTTGAACCCGTCGAACGGTTAGGGGGGTTTTGCCGGAATCCCGTTCGTTGAATGGCGGCTCCCCCTCGGTCTCTGACGAATAAGAGCTTGCGTGTTTCGGTTGAAGCTACTGAGTCTTTAGCAAAGATGATAGGCTGCGTAAGGTAGTTTGGGGGTTTTAGTGAATCCCCTCCTTGATTTCGCGAACTCCGCTCGTCTCCCGCGGAAACGGCATTCGTGCTCTGGTATTCCCAGAAGGCTTTCGGCTTGGTGGGCGAGGCGACCGGACCGTGGGGAGGGAGGGGGGGGAATTGCGCGTCTCGTCTGATGTTCTTTGGGTTCGAGGCATTGTCGTCAAATGAGTCTTTTGCCTCTGAACTCCGTACTTTGAGTACCTTATAAATAGTTGAGGCCATGTCTTTCTCTCTTTACCTGTGATTTCTACCTGCAACTACCTTACCTACACAGTCTTCGGGATATTATTAGCGACCCTTGGAATCAATCAATCAATCAGCTGAACCCCCAGTCCTCATTACATCAGAGGGCAGACTCTAGCCGATTTGGGGAGGCAAACCGAACCTCTGGGTTTCATCCAAAACTCGCCTGATTTCCATCTTACTGAGCTTTCGGATTTGGCGAAGAGAAAGACGCTGAGCCCGAACTCGGTCCGCTGAATTGTTAGCTGGAACCCCCTTTCGCTCACAATTCTTCCCGCTGTACTGGCTTTTGCTTTCCTCCCAAGACGATTTCAATTTCTGTCTAATTCACTTTTGTCCTCTCTCCCCTTTTTCATCTGAAATCTACAGAGTGTCGCGGAATTGGTTTCAAATCGGCCATCACACCTTAAAGTCGGTGACGACTGCTTCGACGACAAATGCGAATGGGCATCTGAGGAGGAGCCATGTCTTTCAAGTTGATGGTTGTCTCGGCCCTCGCCGGCGGCGCGGGATGGATGTACGCGACACAGGACGCCTGGACCAGAGGCTCTTTTCTGCAGGCGGCGACGGTCCTGCTCTTGATCGAGCTGGTGGCTTACGGAATTTTCGACATGTTTGTGTATCCCAAGTGGTTCTCGCCCTTGCGACACCTGCCCACGGCGCCGGGGAAGCACTGGCTGATGGGCCACGGATTGAAGATTCTGGCCGAGAAGCCCGGCGCGCCGATGAGAGAGTGGTAAGTTCATCCGTCTGTCTGGCAACCAAGCATTGAACGCTGTGCATTGTTGCGTGGAGAGACGAGTACACGGCTGACTGACCCGACTGTGAACAACAGGGCTCTGACTATTCCCAACGAGGGCCTCATACGCTACTACTGGTTCTTGAACCGCGAGCGTCTGCTCGTCACTTCTCCCAAGGCTCTGGGCGAGGTGCTCACCACAAACAGCTACTCCTTCGAGAAGCCCGAGAACGTCAAGACCTTACTCGGTCGCATTCTGGGCTATGGCGTTCTGGTGGCCGAGGGGGATGAGCACAAGCGCCAGCGGCGCAACTTGATGCCGGCTTTTGCGTTCCGACACATCAAAGACCTGTATCCCGTCTTCTGGGACAAGTCGCGCGAGGCGGTCCGGGCTATGACCAAGGAGTGCGGCGACCGCGGCCAGGCGGACCTGGAGGTCGGCGAATGGGCATCGAGGGTGACGCTCGACATTATTGGCGTCGCGGGCTTGGGCAGGGACTTCCGGGCCATCCAGGATGAGCACAACGACCTCGTCCAGACGTACCAGTTCCTCTTCAAGCCGAAGCCGCCGGCCAAGCTTCTGGTCTTCCTGGCCGCGTTGGTGCCCACGTGGCTGCTCTACCGACTGCCGCTGGAGCGAAACAGGGAAGTCGACGCGGCCGCCGCAACTATCAGGGCCGTGTGCCGGGATCTGATCCGAGATAAGAAGCAAAAGATGATGGCCAACAAGGAGCGCACCGACGTGGACATTCTCTCCGTCGCGCTCGAGAGCGGCCAGTTTACCGACGAGAACCTGGTGGACCAGCTCATGACGTTCCTGGCCGCCGGCCACGAGACGACGGCGACGGCAATGACCTGGGCCATCTACTTCCTCTGCTGCTCGCCCGAGATTCAGACGCGGCTACGCAACGAGGTCCGCGAGAGGCTGCCTTCCACGGACGACGTCGGCGCCACCATCACGAGCCTGGACATTGACCGCATGCCGTACCTCAACGCGGTCTGCAGCGAGGTGTTGCGGTACTTTAGCCCGGTCCCGATGACGGTGCGCGAGGCGGCTCACGACACCACCATCCAGGGCGTCCGCGTACCAAAGGGCATCCGCGTCTCCCTGTCCCCCTTTGCCGTCAACGTGGACCCGAAGCTCTGGGGCCCGGACGCGGGCCAGTTCAACCCGGACCGCTGGATCTCGGCCGACGGGCTCTCGGACGAGAGCAACCGCAAGGCGGCGAGCGGCGGCGCGGTGAGCAACTACGCCTTCATGACGTTCCTCCACGGGCCGCGCAGCTGCATCGGGGCGAGCTTTGCCAAGGCGGAGTTTGCCTGTCTCTTGGCGGCCTGGATCGGCCGGTTTGAGTTTGAGCTTGCGAATGAGGAGGAGAAGGATCTGGACAAGGTTGATATCAAGGGGGGCGTGACGGCGAGGCCGGCGAAGGGATTGCATGTGAGGACCAGGGTGCTGCCGGGCTACTGAGGGGGGAGGTGAAGTTGGATGAATGTTCACGTACAGGGATTGGGGATAACGAAAAGAGTCGGAGATGGCCGTTGCGAGAGGATGGAACAGCCTCGTGTATAATGTAGCTGTGAGCAGGTCGGCTTTTCAGCGAGCAGTTCTTTTTATGTTGTTGGTAGTTTGATACTTGAGGTAGGTAATCTAGATAAACTCTGACATATGTTCCTTATTGGTTCGGCATAGACGAGGCGATCTGACGACGCCACCTGCGCAGTTGTAAGGTTGGATGCCATATTGATTAGAATATGTATTACTCAAATTGAAGTTGCTTGGAAGATGAGGCTGTTCTACCTGCGCGTAAACTGCAATGTTCATCTGATGAGATGCAATATACTGCCGGGTAGAATCAACAGAGTGCTACAAGGGCATTCTCGCAGACGACAAAGGCGTCTCCAGAGATGTGAAGGGGTCATTATGAGCGTCACATTTTTTTCGTTTGCTGGCGTCTGAAGCATGCGGGTGATTGAGTCAGGTCTTGGGCATGCATACATGAAGAAAAAAAGCCCTCGTTCTTCGCATGCTGCATGAGAGAGGTAATGTGTCCCTTTTTTTTGCTATTTTTATTCTCTTCAGATGGGTACTATCTCCTTCATCGTCTTCCCCGAAAACAACGTGCGAGTATGCTTTGGTTCTGCCGGCTGTGTGAAGTACGACATCTCTTTGTCTTAAGCCGAGACAAGGTCTCGCGATAGCGGTGATGGGTGAGACGGACAAAGAAGAGGGATCGGATCTGCGAAGATGGCATGATATAAGATGTACCAAGCCGATTCTACGCGCCATTCGGTATTATTAGCAGCATCCTCGTATAACTTAACATATGACATAACAGCCTAATGCTCGTATGTATGTATGTACTGCTGCAGCACTCGCATCGCCATCAGATGCATTGGAGTTTGGCAGATTTGGAAGGCAACGATGTTATGCAGGGTAAGTCAAAAGGCTTGTTTTGTCTCCCTTATTTTGTCGCCCTGCCTTCGGAATAGTACCTTAGCACTAGTAATATCTCGATCTGGCGATACACAGACACAGACACACACACAAGAGACAACCGTAAGACAACACAAGGTCGTAGTGCCAACTGGCAGAAAAGCGGGGTTTGCATCGGCGAAGAGGGAAGACAGACACACGCAAGGTACCGCTAGGTAGCGGTCGATATCTGGATCAGAAGCCAATGGCTGCACAGGTTGTCGCTGTCGCTGTTGTTGTACTACAAGCACAATGGTCAGACAGGAGAGTGAGACAGATGGGGTGGTGCATGTACTTTGTGTGACTTCGTCGCCCAACTGGGGGACTCGGGGACTCCCTGTGACCCCCTGTAGCGTCTGAGGGCCTCGAAACGGGCGGCTGCTGGGCGTTTGATTGGCGAAGCTGGGAGAGGGGAGATGCAGATTGTACATGATGTGTACATGCATAGGACAGGGAGGAGGGATGCCGAGATGGCGAGATGGAGAGGAGCCGCCAGCGCAGCAGATGTGCGACGTTGAGTCAGTGACAACCAATGGATGCGGGACGCAGGTTGTGTCTGAAGCGAGCTGCTGGGGGCCAGCAATTGGAGCTTGAGGTGCAGCTGATGAAGAAGAATGAAGAGGATTGAAGGGTTTCCAGTGCTTGTGTAAGGTAAGACACGATGATAAGGTACGAACAAGTACATTGAAGTGCAGAGAGCATTGACACGCTTCTGATGAGCCCCACAGGCTGGTGCGTGAGGCTGGAATGCTCACGCTGTTGTACCCGTCACCCAGATATGGCCGGCGAGGTACCTCCGCACATGGAAGCATGTGCACCGCACGTTGAAGCTCGGAATCCACTTGGCGCCACCCGTTTGCTGCACCCTCGCGCTTCTGCTCCGGTTTGGGTGTAAGAGTCGACGCTCTGGCGCTCGAGTTGATACAATGTTACCTGACAGTTATTATCATCGTCGCTTGTTCTTCGTGTCCTGGTCCCTTTTGTTTGTTTGTTTGCTTGTTAATATCAAGACTCGAATTCGACCGACAGACGCAGGTAGGACAAGGCACTTGCTACGTACGTGGCTGAACCAGCTCGGCAGCTTAACCTACCCCAGCTCTCGTTTTGTGTCTTGCCGCCAGATCTGCTGCCAGAATCGCATCTCGATAGCGGCATGTACCTCCATCCTTCACAGTCTCGTCGACCCGGAGGTGCCCCCTTTTTTCTGTCGGCCCCAGTCTCTTGTGATCGCTTGTCCGGCTACTGGCCAGCTGAAGACAGCCGCTAAACCCCCATGGTGGCGCCGCCTGATTGGGCCGTGCCGTCAGCCACACCGACCAGCCTGGCCCCGGCCACCATCTTTTGCGCTGGACGCTCCGCGTTTGAATCGCCTTTCTCCTCGCCAGCGTCGAAGCCGTCGCCCAGCCACCGCCTGTCCTGTCCACGGAGCGGGTCGGGTCGACTGGGGTGTGTGAGCGAGCGAGGATTGGCGTCGTGCTGCTAAGCTGTGCTGTGCTAGTCGGTCGCAGTTCCGTCAGCTCTCGTTTCCCTTGGGGGAAACCAAAACAGACGAGGAAAAAAACACGAGCCGGGCTTCGACTCCTTCACACCACCCGGATGATAAGAGGGAGGGAACTAATAGAAAAATAGAAAAAAGAAGATAGAGAGCAGCTTGTCACTGGCAGAGCGACCGCACGCCACGCCCGGTGCCCACGATGCCTCATCCCCGCCGCCGGAGCCCGGAGAGCTTCAGGAGGCGGAGGCGCGAGAAGCGACTGTCGCGCGAGGATCCCGCCGGCCTGTACTCGTCGTCGTCGCCCAAGAGCAGCATCGCGCCTCAGCAGCCGGCCGGGAGCTCTTACAGCGCCGACAGCCCACGGACGCAGCAGCAGCCGCAGCCGTACGAGTATCCGACCCAGCAGGACAAGCCGCAGCCTCAACCTCAGCTTCACTCCCAACCTCGGCTTCCCTCGCAGCCTCTCCCCCAAGTCCAGCCATCATCAGAGCAACAACCGCGGTTCCAGCCGCCGCCGCTGCAGCCCCAGCATACGGCATCGTCGCCGTATCCCTCGCCGCAGCAGTACCAGCAGCAATACCCGGCCTCATTCCCCCACCACACGTCGTCGCTGCCGCCAATGTCGCAGCGCCAGACGCCCTCGCAGGAGGTCCTGCCCCGGTCCCGGGCCTCGTCTGGCTCGCTGTCGTCGTCGCCGTCGTCATCGTCCTCCTCGTACATGGAAATCTCCCGACAGTATCCCACATCCCGCTTCGGCGGCTTCTTCAGCACCTTCATCAAGGCGCCCTCAGAGGTGCGGCGGCGGCGGCGACGCAGGGGCAGCGGCACCAAGAGGCGACGCGGCGTCTTCTTTGGCGGTGGCAGCAACTCGTCCCACTCGTCCATCAATTCCGACATGGCGTACGGCACGGGCTTTGTCAAGAAGGAAAAGGATCGGTCCACCCGCTACAGCAGCTCCGTTGCGGGCTCTGCCGCGTCCAGCTCGCATCCCCAGCAGCCGCTGCCATACTCGCAATACCCGGCCGCGCAACCCAACCGGCCATCCCCTAGGCCATCCAGTGAGACGAAGCGCAACAAGACGGACGAGGAGATTATTGCCATTGGCCGCCAGCTGTCGGATCTGGCTCGGAGGTCCAACGAGGAGGACCTACGCCTCGTCGGAAAGTCTCGACCCAGCGGACTGGCATCCACTGCCGCCGCTATCAGCGCACTGCGGAAAAGCAGAAAGGAGGCTAAGAAGCGAGGGCTTGCCGGCTCCAAGAAGCACCGCAGCTCATCGTCGGACGAATCGGACTGGGAGTCGGCCTCGGAGGACGACGACGACTCTTCCGACAGCTCGTCAAGCGATGACAGTCTCATACATCTGGCCTACGGCGGCGATGATTCTTCGCGCTCCAACGTCGCCTTGTCCGGGAGCGACGCCCATCTCGCTTACGGCGGCGATTCTTCGCTCTCCAACGTCGCCCTGCCTGTCCTTACGGGCGCTGCCGCCGGGGCCGTTGCCACCGCTGTCGCCGATTCCAACCCTTCTCACAGCAGAAAGAGCTCTGTTGTGGATCCTCGGCTCTTCGGCCCCTTGAACTCGTTGCGCGGGCTGATCAACACCCCCTGCGGGTTTGGAGACGAGCCGCGGCCTTCAGCCTCTACGGGTCCCCATCTCTACGATAATGACAGACCAGCCACTGGTGGATCGCAGGCCGATTCCGCCCACCGCCCGGCGCCTGTCCCCCTCCAGCAGCCGATCCCCAAGGCCCCGGTCTCTAACAAGGTCTTCGAGGCCGGTCGCCGAGATTCTCGGAATAGCTACCGCCGCCAGCATTCCAACGGCGGGTTTCTGGACCCTACGCTCGATGGAGGCGTTGCGGCAGCTGCTGCCGCCGCAGCGGCTCGCATGGCTGAGCAAAGGGGGCCTTGGAGCGAGGATCGCATCTACCGCGACAATGTCAGGCTTACTCGTCCGGACCCAGATGAAGATTATTTCCAGCGCGACCTGGCCCCCTTTGAGGAGCTCGAGCGGCGGCGGGCCAATCCCGAAGTCTACTATAACCGTCGAAACGATGATGTAGACTCCCCTCGGATGGAATCCAACCGCGAGATGCCCGACTACTTTGGCAAGGACTCGCCTGGTCTGGCCAAGGAGAGCAGAACCTGGATGGAGCTTCACCCCGAAGAGCGCAAGGAGAGCCTCAAGTATCAAACTACCTATGATGCTCACATGCGAGAGATTGAGCAGCGTCAAGCCCAAGAGCGCAGGGACCGACTTCGCGACGCCCAGAGGCAACAGCAACAGCAACAGCAGCAAGAAACCGCTCGTGCGACAAAGGCAGGTGACCGGAAGGCTGACAAGCCAGCCCAGCCCGCCCCGAAATCCAATGTTGACCCTTTTCAATACCAGGTTGCCGACGATGCTTTTGGAACCCCCCAGTTCAACACGCCCCGCCGGCCACTGACTCCTGAGATTGTCACCGTTGATCGTGTCCCTCCAAACTTCACCGAGTCCAGGTCTGTTACTGCTTCCGCGCCCTCTCCTCAGCCTTCAATGTCGATACGACCGCCCAATGCCGACATTAGGCTCAGTCGAAAGGACTCCCATGAGCTTGAGAAAGCGGCAGAGGAGAGACAAAGGGGGGTCGATACTGGATCTCGAGGCCGAGACCCCCGAGCTGGGTACGAGTACGAACAGGAGGAAAGGGAGGCTCGATCTATCCTAGACGAGGCCAAGCATTCCACCATTCCGGTTGCTGCCGTGGCCATTGCATCGGCCATCGCTGTCGAGGAGGAGCGGTCGCGGGAGCGCAGACGCCGCGAATACTCGGAAGACGGTTCTCGGGATCGATCCAGGCCTGAAAAAGATGCTGTTCAGGAGGATGCAGACAGGTACTACCGCGAGTCTGTGATTGCGCGAAAGATTGCTTCCGACGATATCCGGTCTCGCAGCAAGTCTCCCGAGGAATCCGTCGTGGATAAATGGGAGAAGCCATCCGCCGAAGAATCATTTGCCATCGTTTCACCGCCCAGCATGGAAGACAGGGAGCATGATGATGACGAGAATCCTTACGCACCTCCCAATGCCGATGTCAAGGTGGACAACGAGATCTATCCGCACCAGACCGATGCCTCAAGATTCAGGACCCGCGACTCTTCCCGTGAACGTCCATTGCTCAACATTGTCCGCCCTACGCCGGTGCCCAGCCCCGATCCCACGTCGGGAGCTGGTGAGGCGTTGAAGCAGCCAGCAGAGGTGCCTGCAACTAGAGAGCTTGAAAATGATTTGGTTGATTCATCCGAGGATGAGTCTGGTCACCAAGAGGAGGCGGCGCACTCGTCACCCAGCGGCAAGTCCGTCTCGTGGGGCGAAAACTCGACGAAGCGCTTCGTAGTCGAATCGCCCGAGGCTCGTAGCCGTGCCGAATCCCCAAACGAACCGGCTGAGGCGGAGGACAAACCCAGGCCCCGTCTCAGCAAGATTAGCCAATGGGGCAAGATCGCTGCCATGATGACCGCTGGCACCGCCGAGCCGACGACAGAGCTCGACAGACACACTGCCAAGCGGAGCGGCGACCTTCCTGCCGATGACGACGTCGATGGCGCACCACCTGTTCCTGGCCCCAAGCCAGTCAGCTCCGAGCCGGAACAGATGCCTGGGGCCTACGCCGACGATCTCGAGTTTGCGGCCACTGTCGCAGCTGGCCTGAAGGAGAGCGGCTTCGACCCTAATATTGTGATTGACGACCCAGCCTTCCGCCGTCGAGACTCTCGTCCGGGAACAAACGAGGACACCGTCATGGGCCATGTTGTTCCCGAGCGACCAACCCAGGATCCCGTACCAGTCCCATCCAAAGATGAAGTCCGAAAAGATGAGCCGCAAGTCGATGTGGCAAGAAGCAGAGAGCAAGAAGATGAAGAGGAGCTCTCCTTGACTGATACGGAGGACGAGGAAGATGAGAAGCCTCAGAAGCAAGAGAAGCAAGAGAAGCTTGACAAGCTCGAGAGATATCTTCAGATGAGGCGGTCCGGTGAGATCAAGCCCCCCTCTCCGCCTCAGGAGGAGCCGGTCGTCGAGCCACCGACTACACAAGATCGACCAGTCACCCCTCCCCCAAGAGGCAATGAGCGACGGAATATACTCGAGAACCTCCTTCAAAAGAGGCAATCGGGCGAGATTCGACCACCCCGGGAGGTGTTGGAAGCGGTAGAGTCGCGCAACTCGCAGCCAGTCCCCGAAACCCAGGACGAGGACGAGGGTGAGGACAAGAAGGCCAAGATGGAGAGGCTGGAGAAGTTTTTACAGACGAGACGGTCCAGCCCGCCCAATGAGCCTGAAGCGACAGAACCTGCAGCAAGGCACGATTCCGATGCTGAGCTGCCTCCAGCGGAGGCACTTGAACCAGAAGCTCTAGCGGACGACAGCGCTTCCGACGTTGCCCCTGCCGATAGGCCGAAGAAAAAGACTAAGAAGAAGCGACGAGACCGTTTAGATGAAGCGTCAACCATCTCTTCTCGCCTTGATGACGACCATTCCAAGCTGTCCATACCTGGTGACGAAGGCACCGAGATTTCAAGGATTTCGGTCCCTGGTGACGAGGCCACCGTGTTCAGCGTCGAAGACTGGGAGGATTGGGATAGCTCACCGAGGTCTACGCGGAAGTCGCTCGTTGCTTCGGAGCTGTCGACCTCCAGCAGGAGAAGCGCGCGGGGGAAGCGTCGGAGCGCTACGGAGAGAGACATTCGCCAAAGCCGCGGCGACGAGCCGCCACCATACCCGGGAGGTGACAGCCATGACGAACGCAGCGCGAGGCGCGAATCTCGGGACGACGAAAGAAAACCTAGAAACAGGGAGGCAAGGCACTACCAAGATAATGATAATAGCGAGAAACCTGTGCCCTCGCGTAAACGCAAAGACTCCTCCGGCAAGAAGTCCAACTTCTTCTCGGGCATCTTCAAGTCTGGCAACAACAAAAACGACAACAGTACCATCAACGAAAAGGGCGAGTCTTTTTTTGAGCAAGCCGGCACTCTTGGCGCGGGTGCCGGCCTAGCGAGCATTGCTGCGGCCGCAGCAAAGGCCTTGACTCGCTCAAATGCCGCCGATGTCTCCTCGGACCCGGAGAACATCTCGCGAGATCTCCCTGGCTCGAGCCGGGAGGACGAAGAGGATCACTACCCCGTGATTGCGCCCCGAGCGATTGCGATCGATCCCCAGTATGGCGACCTGCTCCCTCTGCCGCCCAGTCTACCGGGAACCCCCGTAGAGGCCAGCTTCGACGAGCTGCCGGGCCTGCCCGACAGTCGTCCTGGGACGCCGGTTGAGGATCGAAGCCGGAAATTCGAAAAGTCGCATCGCCGGCAACGAAGCAACCAAGAAAACAACCTGTCCAACTCCCGCAACAGGTCACATAGCAATACCGCCGTCCCCTTGGCACTGCTCAGGGGTATCGGGTCCAGGCCTTCCAGCCCTGTCTCTTACAAGACTTCCCGTACGCCATCCCGGCCGACGTCTTGGGACAGCACCAAAGAATTCATGCCCCTGATGCTTCTTGAGCATGCGCGGCGTGGATCGAACGAGAGAAGCCCCAAAGGCGGAGACTTACCGCCCCTGCCCCCTAGCGAAGCAACAAGTGAAGCTGAAGGGGGAGCCGTGTCCGACAAAGAAGAGCACAATGGGGGGAAGCTGCTGCCCGTCTTGCGACCGGAAGACTTCCGAAGCCCGTTGCCTCCCAACGATGGGTTCAACCTAGCTGATCGCTCACTCCGGCTGCAAACCCAGATACCCGGAATGGACAACGCCGTCACTGACGAGGAATCTTCGGGTTCTACCCCGAAAGCAGACGTGACGTACGAGCTGCCCGTCCATCCTACTGACAACACTCTAGGCGAAGCTGCGGCTGGTGATGACTACCGCCTCCCTGGTCCTAGAACGGCTGGTAACGATAGGCCATTGACGACAGACAATCACGACGAAGCTGTTCCCTTTGAGTCGACGCCTTCGTCGGGTCACTCAGCCAAGACAGTGGATGCTCCAGCCATACCGAGCCCCCCAACTCCTACTCAACGCTTCCTCTCGCCCCGCCAGGATCTTGTCCGCCATCCCTCCGATGATTTGACATCACCAGACGAACGCTCCGATGCCTTTGAAACGGCACACACCTCGCCTGCTGCCATGCATGAGGATGACCTCTATGAACCGGATCTGCCGCCCATCGAGCCATCGATGCTTGGCGCAATCCCCGAATTTTCAAGACCCGCAAAGTTTTTTGAGGACAAGGTACCGGACCATCCAACACCAGCATCTATGGACAGGGTGATTGAGACTTTGCCTAGCAATGAGAGCGTCCCAGAGGACCAGGGCCGCACCGGCGCCTTGCAAGAACCTGCTGAGGGGCCACTCGACGAGGGTGAGAAGAATGGGAACTGGAAGGAGAGCGAGTCCATATCATCGGGAGCGGAGCTTGAGCGCGACTTTTCTGCCCAGCCGGCGGCTGACGAGACATTGGCTGCGTTTGTCGGGATTCCGGATTCAGCTATCGACAAGGACCATACTCTAGATACCGAATACATTCCTTCAACTGAGTCTTTTTCCAAAGAGGAGCTCCCCCTTCAGGCATTGGAGCCTGCCCGTGATAAGCCAGAGGAGCAGTCTTGGGCCAAGGAGAGCAGGGGACAGCCTGTGATGGTCGAGGACGAGTCGGAGCCGGAGCCGGAACGTTATGCCCCTGGGCCAGAGCTTGAGTGGAAGTCTGAGCCGGTCGCAGTTTTTGAGCCTCTGGAAGAGGTTCATGAGGCGCCGTCCAACGAGGCCTTCGTCGACATCGTACCTGTGTCTGAGGAGGTCTCGTCTGACGTAATCGCGGAGTCAAGTCAACGCTCGGTTCCCGAGGAAGTTGAGGAAGAAATCGTCATCGGCACCCTACCAGCTGCAGCTCATAAGATCACTGAGGCCGCTGCTGAGCCAATTCTGGAGGATACGACGGAAGTCAAGGAACTTGAGCCTGTTCAACGGGATGCCGGGGTCCCTGAAGAGGAATACGCAAGGAAGCCTGCGACATCTACGGTCATTGAAGACTCGGAGGAATCAGATGAGGATGGCTCCTCATATGATGAAGAGGACGACTCAGAAGATTCGGAAGATTTTGAAGAATCCGAGGAGGAAGAAGAGAGGGTCAAACACCATGAGGTGGCGGGCGTCGCAAAGCGCGACGGGGAAGTGGAGCACGGGGTTCGTGACATGACGGCGTCTGTCGTCTCTCTTGGGGCCGAGTCTGTGGTGTCGACGAGCTCGAAGAAGAGCAAGAAAAAGAAGAAGAAGAAGAAGAAGAGAAAGAGGAGGAAGAAGAAGAGCAAGTCGGCGGCGGCGGCAGCCGCAGCAGAAGCTACAGCGCCGGAAACTTCCAACAATACCCCTATCCAACATACCTCAGATGTCGCAGAGACTCTTCCCACGGAGCTCAAAGAAACCGAGCGCAAGCCCCACGATGAAGTCATACAGCCTGCACCTGTTGATGCAGTAGAAGTGGTGGAGGAAACACCTGTGGATCTTACTAAAGATACCACTGCTCCTGAACCTGCCCGGGAAATCCCAGAACAGCTTACACGAGACACCGAAGAGGAAGCATTCGGTGAACAGGCGCGAGATGCCGTTGCATCCGCCGAGCCAACTCCTCGTGAAGGCTTAGAACCCGCACCTGAGCACACCATCCTGGCTGATACCGAAGAACGGCCATCAATTCCTCCAACCACAGTCGAGGAGACAAAGAACGATGAGCCGGCCGTCGATGACGAGCTTCAAAAGTGGGCTGCTACTGATAGTGAGCCGATTCCACAGGCGGACCGTTCTGGCGATGACAAGACGGAGGTGATCTTACCAGAGCTGGGCGACGAACAAGAGGGTGGAAATAGGGGTCTTCAGGTCGAAGATGAAGCCACTGCTGCCGAGGAGAAGCTCGAAGTTCTGGCTCCCCTGCCTCAAGAATTGCCCCCTCAAGGAGAGTCGCCATTACAGGAGGACACCTCTGCTCCCACAACCGTGGAGCTTCCTGGCGACGTGCTTGCCGAAATGGAAGACCGTGACTCACCTATTCAAGACCGAGAGGTTCTGGCGACGAATGAAGCCGTTCTAGCTGCGGAAGAGATGCCTATTGAATCTCCTGCCGTGGCCGAAGAAATTGTTGACTCGGAGAGCAAGGACACAGAAGCTCCGGTTCTCCATGAGGAGGCACCCGTTCCATTGGAGGGTTCTCCCTCGGCGGATCGTCAATGGAATGCAACCGACGACGAGAAACGCGAATATGACGAGACGGTTGCTGAAGCTGAGTACGAACCTGAGTACGAAGAGACGATTCAGCTGCCGACTATCATGGAAGAGCCTGAGCCTGCTCTCGAGGACGCGGTTGCTTCGGAGGGTGACAACACCGTGCCATCCGAAGCCGTTGAACATGCTCCGGTCTACAATGACCAATTGTCTCCGATTCTAGAGGAGTTGATGGAAGATCTACTGGAAGAGGCGGCTTCTGCAGAGAAGTCTGAAGGAATGACGCAACAAGACAGCGAGTCCAAGTCAGAACCCGTGCCAGACGAGTCAGCCTGGAACATTGGTCAATCTGAGGACCAATCCGAGCACGAGGGCACCGAGGAGACCAGAGTACTGGAGTCTATTGCCGAAGAATCGGAAGAGGACTCACTCGAACCAACACCAAATGAGGGTGTGCCGCGAACCATCGAGGAGATAGCGGGTGGCAAAGATGTCGACTCAGCTCCCAGTCAACTTCCATCATTTTCTTCGGAGATTTCTGAGCCACTGTTTTCCCAGGGCGATGCTCCGTCTGAGTATCCCACTCAGCAATCTCCCATTAGTGTTGAGCCAACGCAGACGGATGAGAGTTTTGCTGTCCCGGAGGAGCCTGCGCGGCCGCCTCCTCCTGTGCCGAACGCTGTTAACGAAGCCAATCCCAAGGCGACTGAACTCGAGTTTTCGACCCCTATGGAATCCGTTATTAATGTTCCTTCTGAGAATCCTACTCCGCAATACCCTGTTAGTGACCAGCCAACACGTATGGACGAGAGTTTTGCAGTCCCGGAGGAGCCTGCGCGGCCACCACCTCCTGTACCAAATGCTGCTGATGGAAGCACCGAACACCAATCTGCAGCGCCAGTGGAGCCTGCTACTGATGCTCCTTCTGAGCATTCTACCGAGCAAGACGGACTTCGTGCTGAGCCGACAGAGGCGAGCGAGAGCTTTGAAGTTCCAGAGGAGCCTTTGCGGCCGCCGCCTCCTGTGCCGAACGCGGCAGATGAAACCAACCATGAGGCGGCCGTCGAATCACCAGCCCCAATGGAATCCGTCGTTGATGATACCGCCCTAGATGAGTCTGACAAACCCGAGGCAGCCACACCGGCAGCTATCGATGCTGCTGATAATGTTCTCTTGGCTGAAGAGCGCGAGCGAATTGAGGAGCAAATCTCCACTCCGGCCCCCGACACTGTTCTCCAGGAGCCCGATCTCACTGAAGTTGTTCCACTAGAAGAGGGAGACAAGGACGAAGAACGGAACAAAGGTCCTGCAGAGGTGGATGCCAAGCTACACGACGATGCGGCAGTTGAGCAGCCCTCTAGCGCTGATCTGGACCAAGACGGTGTGCCTCAGGAACACCAAGCCGCACTGGACTCGAGCCCTTCTGAGGAACGCAAAGAAGATAACGAGGCTAAGCATGACGAAGTCAAACCTCTACCAGAGTCTGAGTCCCTTCCGCCGCAGGAAACCAGCCGCGAACTTGATCTGGAGCCCGAAGCGGAGCATGAGGCTGTGGACGATGAATTAAAGCCGTCAACAGATGACATCGAATTAGAGACGGAGGACTCTGAAGAAAAATCAAGGGAGACCCAAGCCGATGCTGCTGAATCCGATGCTCACCTCGATACTGAGCCCCATGTGGAACTCCCTTCAACTCAAGAGGTGGAGCATGCGCCTCAAATGGAGGAAAACGACAACGTGACTCTCGATGTGGAAAAGACCGAGGAGAACGCAGAAGCTCCTGGCCAATCTGAAGCAGCTGACCCGGCTGATACTTTGGAACCCTCGGTGGAAACCAGCTTCCCTCAAGAGCCTGACATGACCTCTGAATTGAATCGACCTACTGCACAAGAAGCTGAACCCGTTGCTTCACCAGCCATCCCAGCAGACACTGACAAAGATGTGGAGCTTGAGCGCTCGATACAACCTCAAACTTCCGATCAAATGGATCTCGCACAAGGTGGCGAGGCCAAGGATGCTCCCCAAGAGGTGGATGAGCCACAGACTGAAGACGCCCTTGTACCGCAAGAGGCTCAGACACCGACGGAGATGGAGCTCGCTCAGCCTGCCAATGAAGCCCAAGAGACAGCTGTAACTACAGGTCAAGACCAAGTCGAGGTACCAGCAGAGACTCTCAAGGATGACTCGATCAGCGCCACGTCGCCAAGTTCAGATCTAGTCATGGACACTAAGGATGGATCACACTTGGACAATGATCCTGCCGTTGTCGACGAAGCACACTCCGAGCCTGCAGATGCTCCAGAATCTGATGTTCCCGAAACCAATCTCGAGGTCGCGCCGATTGCCGAAGACAAGCCCGAAGAACTTCCCTTGGAACAGGCACTGAATGAAGCCCAGCAGGAGCAAAAGCCGGACGAGCCCAAAGAAGAGCTGAAGTCTGATGAGCCTGAGCTGGAGCCGGTAGCTGAAGAGGCCCCCAAAGGTTCCGAAACTGGTCTCGAAGAGGCTCAGGCTGGACCATTGCCGGAGGAGCATCTACAGGAATCGACGTCGGAGACTCAGGAAGGACCTATTCTCGAGGAACACAAGCTGGAAGAGCCACATCTCGAGGAAGCTGTGGCTGAGCAGAAAGACGAAGCTCAGTATCCATCAACTGCGGAAGAGACGTCGGCTCCTCGCCCTCTAGACCCAACTGAAGAGGAGAGCCTTGCGCCTCAGCCCGCCGAGCTTGACACAGCCCTGAAGCCTCAGGTAACGGAACCGACCCAGCACGACAAATCGGAGGAGCCTTCAATGCCAGAGAGAACCATTGGTACGGAAAGCGATGTACCGGTCGACCCTGCCGCTCCCGGTTCAGAACAATTACCACCGACTGAGGCAGTAAGTGTGCCGATTGAGGAACCACTATCTATCGAGCGGGCTGATCAACGCGAACCTGAGTCTGCTTTGCCAGCTGAGACTCCAAGGCAGGCTTCCCAGGAACTCACAAAGGAAAACTTAGAGTCAGTTGAACCTGCTGATTCTGAGCCCCGACAGCCGAAACCTGTGGAAGCAAGGTCAAACTCCGTTAGGACTGGATCAATGCACTTGACCGTACCTGGACAAGAACAGGACTCAGGAAGCGAATACGACAGTGACGATAGTTACGATGCTTCCTCCGTGGCTTCAGATATGTCATATCAAACCGACTTTTCGCGAGGACCGAATGACTCAACGACAAGGCTTACTGGCTTCGAGGTGGTCGCGACTCCGCGTGCAGAATCACGCCCCCATCGAGACCGACGCGGAAAGAAGAAGAAGAAGAAGAAGGGACACAAAAGCAAGCACAAGCGCAAGAAGTCGCGAGGCGGAAGCGAGCCATCAAACTCGCTGACGAGTCTCAGCGAATCGGTCCCGACGACTTCGAATCCCAGCCTCGAGGGTAGCGTGCCCAGTCTTGTTGTGGAGCCACCTGTTGATCAGCCTCAAGTTCCAGTACAATTGGAGGCTGGACATGTACCCGCTGGGCCCGATGGTACGATGACCCAGCCTGGTAATGCCAACAGCCAGCCCTCTACAGAGGATGATCTGTTTTCGAGATTTGCGGATGACCCTGAGCTGTCACCATCGGAGCAGGCTAAGTTGATCGAACGCGCCGCTGCATCACCGGACTTGGAGACCATCCTGGAAGAGGCCGTCGGAGAGGAACCAGAGAAACCACAACACAATGAATCTCCAGACTTGCCCGGAAATGAGGCTGCCGAGGTCCCACGCTCGTCTGAAGCGTCAGAAAACGTCGAGCTGAAGCCAGTAAATGAACTTGGATCGAATGTACGAGAGGATTCCACAACAGAAACCTCTCAGGAGCCGACTGCTTCCGAACCGACTGCTTCCGCACCCGCGGAGGATGAATCAGATATCCAATGGGACATGTTCACAGGCAACTGGGGAAACTCCTCCGGCAGAAAGCCTGAATCCGGCCTCATGGAGAGCCCTGAGATTACCCGGGGCAGCAGAAAAATCCCCGAGCACGCAGATGGCAGCTCGATGCAAATCATCCAGGACGCACCTCTGGTCGACGAGCCCTCTGAGATCTTGACGCCGCAGCGAAGGGACAGCCAAACGGAGCAGCAGATACCTGTCCACACTCCAGACAACGCTGAGCGCGCAGGCTCGCAGTTACGAAGCGAGAAGCGAGCTTCGTCCGTTCCCGGATCTCAGTCGCCGAAAAAGGGCTCGAGGCCCGCTAGTCAAGGCGGCGAGAAGTCCGACAGGTGGTTCGGGTCACTCTCAGGAGGCATTTCTCTCTTCTCTGAGCGGTTTGGCAGTCCCAGGAAAAAGAAGACAAAGGACAGAGACAAGGACCCTGTAGGGGGAGACGACAAGGAAGACCCCAAGGAGGAGTCTTTTTTAGGGAATCCAGCTCTTCGGCAAAGCGGTGACGAGAGGAGCTGGGAATCAAATCAAGCGGACAGAGAGGACATGATTGACGACTTTCTGCACGGAGGTGGCCTCCCTACCACTCCCAAGAGGCGCAGAAAGCGTCACGATCCCTCTGACGCACCCACTACACCAAAGCGGAGCGAAAGCATTGTGGAAGCAAGAGATGACGAGGGTGCACTTGTAAAGAAGGGTGAGCGTGGAGGTTTGTTCGGGGGGGAATTAGTCGAGAGCCCGGTTCTCGAGGCCACGGAGCCCCTGGGGCCGTTTGAGTTGTTGAGGCGGCATTCCGAAGTGGAGGATCCAATCGGTGGGCTACTCCGGGAGGCATCGGAAATCTCGGTGCTCCCGCCAATGGACATGATGTCTGAAATATCCGACTACGAGTTGTCTGACTATAGGTTGTCGCCCCCCAGAGCATTGCCCGCGGTTGAAGAGCAGCCGGAGGCTGAGGCCGAAGCGACAGCCTCGGAAGTTGGCTTTTACAGAGACAGTGGGTTTGCCCCGACTCCTTCGCTCGACCGATCAAGGAGACATAGCACAAACACGATCATCCTCGAAGAGGACGGAGAGAAGCAGCTTGACAGCGAAATCGATGCCGACTGGATTGAAGCGGCCATGGCACAGCTCAAGACGCCCGAGCCAATACAGAGAACGCCGGAGCGGCAGCCCCAGAGACGCCTACGACGGTCCACGCTGGGCGGCCAAAGACTACGAGATTCCGCTTCGTTACGGGAAGCGGCACAGGACCCGGACAGGAAGACAATACCGGGAACAAGGGAGCGAGTGTTGACAGGAACAGGAACGCGACCAGAGACTCCCTCGGGGAGATCCAGTCCTACAAAGAAGGGCTACGGGGCCATCGCCGGCGGAGGATTTGCGTCACGCCTCTCGAGCGGCAGGGCGTCACCAATGACCGTTTCCACGGAACGATCCGACACGCTCCCGACGCTGCGACGGTCAGTGACCTCGCCGGTGGCAGCGCCACTACGAAGCCTGCGACGCGCAGTCAGCGCGTCGATTGGGCCGGGGCTGCAGCGCCCGGAGTCGCCGTCGCTGGCGGTGCTGCCGGTGGTGACGGAGCAGCCGCGGAGCGTCTCAGACAGCCACATCCCGTCAGCCACCAAGAACCAGGCGGGAGAGGCAGCGCGGGCCGACCCTGGTCGAGGGACGCCCAATAGCGGCGCAGCGCGGCAGCGGACCCCTGAGCGGCTGAAGAGCTCGGGCGGCAGCACAGTGCGGTCGTCGTCGAACCCATCGCCGCCGCTGCTGAGACGGGCGGAGAAGCGCATGTCGCTGCGCGAGCCAAACGTCGCCAGCAGCGACCACGGCGGCTTCGACAGCACCAGCAGCGCGCCCCTTGCGACCAAGTACCCGAACCCCAGCACCACGTCGATCCCCAACATCAGCCCCATCCCGACGCCGTCCATTGCGGGCTCGATTGCCGACTCGATCGCGGGCATCCTCGACCCCAGCCCGATGCCCGCCTCGTGCTCCTCGTCGCCGACCAAGAAAGCGCCATCCAAGGCAGCGTCCGAGCCGCCGGTCGCCAACGAGGGCCGTGTGCGCGCAAAGGACAAGACGGACGTATACGTGAGTGCACAAGAAACGATTCCTTGAAGCTCTCGTCCCCTGATTAGTGCCCGCAAATGACCTGATCCACCGGCGTGCATGAGCACAGTCTGTCTGAGCGCTGCCTCTCTTTTTTTGTCTCCCCCTCTTATCTTGTTTTTTTTTTTTTTTTTAATTTCTCCTTCTGCCACCGCCCAGCCACCCCAAAAAAGTGTCAGCGCTCTTGACCGCCCAGCCTCGTGACTTTTGGCACCGCCCAACTGCTGGCAAAGGCTCTGCACCCTCACGGCTTCTCTGGCTCTCATCTGTCGCCCGAAAGTGCTTGCATGCCGCGTCTGGTCATTTGCGGGCATCTCTGCAGTTCCTGACTCTATTTTTTCGTTTTCTTCTTACTGTCCACTGTAGCTCTTAATCTGATTCCATTTCTTCTCTCGACTTGCCTCGTCTCTCTGCCGGTCTCGTCTGGTCGGCATCGCCTCGTTCTAACATACTGGCTTCTTCTTAGGATGGGTACGGCGAGGGCCGCATCGGCTCGCCTCTATCTCCCACAAGGCCGCACAGCATGCGTCGACGCCAGAGTATGCAAGTCCTCGAGCTCGAGGCCCGCGTCGAGCAGCTCATAGCCGAGAACCGCCTGCTCTCCGACGCCCGCCACAGCACCGACCAGCACCTGAGCCACCGCGTCGTCACCGCCCTTTCCGACCGGGACACCCAGATCGAGAGCCTCAAGCAGACGCTCAAGTTCCTCCGCGGCGAGGTCTCCCGCCTGACCGAGGTCAATGAGGGCCTCACCAGCGCCAATGCCGAGCTGGCCAGCAAGGACAACAGCCGCTACGCAGACCTGCAGGTGACGGCCGACCGGGGCGGCAACCAGGATGCCCTCATCCAGGCCCTGCACGAAAAGGACGCCCAAATCGCCGACCTGACGGCCAAGCTCGATGCCGCCAAGGAGCGCATCCGCGAGCTGCAGCGCCAGATCCTCGAAACCAAGGCTGCCGACGTGCAGTTCCTCAACATCAAGGACGAGGACTATTTTGACCACCGCTGCCAGCAGCTCTGCTCCCACGTCCAGCAGTGGGTGCTGCGCTTCTCCAAGTTCTCCGACATGAGGGCCTGCCGCCTGACCAGCGAGATCAACGATGAAAAGGTCATCGACCGCCTTGACAACGCCGTCCTCGACGGCACTGACGTCGACAGGTACCTCAACGACAGGGTCCGCCGGCGGGACATTTTCATGTCCATGACCATGAACATGATTTGGGAGTTTGTCTTTACCCGCTACCTGTTTGGCATGGACCGCGAGCAGCGACAGAAGCTCAAGTCGCTGGAGAAGCTGCTGACCGAGGTTGGCCCTCCGCAAGCGGTGCGCCAGTGGCGTGCCGTTACCCTTACCCTGCTCTCGAAGCGTGATTCGTTCAAGAGGCAGCGAGACCTGGACACGGAAGCCGTCGTTCAGGCCATTTACCAGACCCTATGCAAAGTCCTCCCGCCACCGTCCAATCTGGAGGCACAGATTCAAGCCCAGCTGCGAAGGGTCATGCACGAGGCCGTCCATCTCTCCATTGAGATGCGCACGCAAAAGGCCGAGTACATGATGCTGCCGCCCCTACAACCGGAGTACGACGCGGACGGCGAGCTCGTGCAGACCGTCCAGTTCAACGCGTCCATGATGAACGAGCGGAGCGGATCGCTCAAGATGACCAACGAGGAGCTCGAGGAACGCGGCGCCATTGTGCGCGTCGTCCTCTTCCCTCTGGTCGTCAAGAAGGGAGACGACGACGGCTCCAACGACGAGGAGATTGTCGTCTGTCCCGCCCAGGTGCTCATTGCCCGCAGCAAGCTCACGCGCCAACCCACGCCAGCATCTACTGACGGGGGGAGAGCTTCTACGGGCACAGGCCGTCTGAGCGGCGGCCCACCGTCTCCCGAAACTAGACCGTCCAAAGCTGTCTAAGAGAGAAGGGGGAAGTGCTTGCGCGAGCAAGTTGATGATGATGACATTATGACTTTGATTTCTACTTGGTCCGGTTGGAGACAAAAGTTGAGCGAAGGCGATTCACGTGTTTCTCCTTTTCCTTCTTCTTCTTTATTCCTGGTTTTCATTCATCTACATATATGGCTTTGATCCATGTCATGGTTTCCTGTTAATTGTCGCTTTTACGGTGCTGCTATGACTTGTTTCTTTTTTCTTTCTCTTTTTCTTTATTCTACTTTTACTATGGGATGAAATGCGGGTTAAGAGAGCAACATGTTCAGCATGTTTGATGATACGATATCCTGCAATGATGGATAATGAGACTTTCGATATACTCTGGGCTTTTGTACCTAATTCAAACTGTTTCTGAATTTTTTTTCTTTCCAACGTTTCGTGTCTCTTGGTTTTGTTTTGCTCGGAAGTCATGACTATGTACGAACTCTTTCTTGATGCTAGAATTATGAGATTTGATCGAAAGATTATGACTTGAATGAAAGAAAGCTAGAACATCTCCACTAATACACACCTTCAATGGCACCATTTTCCCTCGCGTCCAACGGCCGTGATTGTCTGCCCGAGGTAAGGGTAGGACACAAAGCGAGACAAAAATCCCAGGTCAGTGCTAGTAGTACATAGCATCAAATAGTATCCTGCAGGTCTGAGCGAATTAGATTTGGGGCTGCTTTTCTGTCCTCCAGGAGTAATAACTAGCGGAAACCTGCATGCATCCAATGGGCGTCTTTACGTAGTATTACTCGTACGAGTCGAAAAATTGGAGTTGGAGTTGGAGTTGCGTTTGGGCATCGATGCTGATATATGGCAGTTCTCTCCAACTGTTGGGCAAACTTTTGACTCGCTCAATCTGGGCATATATGTATGTCCGACGCATAAGCCTGGAATTCTATAGACGAGCTTTTCGCTCTGATTGGATCATTCATAAACTGAGTCATTTCTTCATCGATTCTATCGCTCCTTGGCTATATACAGCTGGCATAGTGGTAGTCACCTCCTCAGCCAGCCACTCATTCTCCCGCGTCTCAAGACGCCTCCTTCCGATCCACCATCCGCCTCCATCCCTCCAGCGTCCTCGAGACGTCGCCGGCCTGCTTCTCGCCGTGCGTCTCCGCAACCATGCCCAGCAGCCACCGCAGCCGCGTCGTCCGACCCCAGTCCCCTCCTTGCAGGTCCCGCGTCACCACCTCCGCCACGCGCGCCAGCACCTGCGGCGAGGCGGCATTCACCAGCGCCCGCTGGACGCCGACGCAGCGCTCCAGGCGCCGGAGCAGCTGCCGGTTGTTGAGGTGCGGCCCCTCCATGTACCACTGGCCGATGCGGTCGACGAGCGCCATCTTGGCTTGAATCTCGCGCGCGGCTTCGTCCGGGTGCGCGTCCGGCGGGGTCGTGATGCGAGGGAGGTCGAGAATCTCCCAGTGCAGCGGCCGTGTGATTTCGGGGTCTTTGATGATGCGCTCTAGGTAGGGAACCCAGGCTTCCCAGCCCCATGATGTCGTGATTTGTGAGTCTTGACCAAGGCGGGCTCGGACGGCTTCGTAGAGCTGCAGGGCCAGTCGGTGGTCGTCGCATATTGTGGCAATGGTACGAGCCGTGTCGATGGTCATTCGAGAAGCCGGAAGAGAGGATATGGCGTGGATGAGGGCGTCTGTCCTGTTGATATCCTTAAAGAAGCCGTAAAGCTCTGGCAAAACCTTGTTGGCGCTGGGAAGCCCATGTATTGCTGAGAACAAAGCCGCCCATCGCTGTGATAGGGAGCTGTACTCTGTTCGCGTAACCTCAAAGTGGGCGGTGGTGCCGATGACCTCTGCTGATTTGAGTCGAGCGACTATAAGCTGCCACAGCTGGACGGATCCGAGGTCGATCTCATGAGACGCGATGAGATCTCGGTAAGATTGGACGAACTCTTCGTTTGTCCAAGTGGAGTTGTATGCCTTGGCCATCAACCAGGCAAAGCGGAGCCTCCGGCTCGCCTCGACATCTTGCTCGTGTTGTAAAAATAGAGTGCTAATTTCGGCATCAATGCCATGCAATTGCATGGGGCTCAATGTTGAGAGCGCTTCTCCGAATTGAGATGCAGCGCCAATCCAGCCTGAGAGAAGATTGTTGTTACTCGCTTGGGCAACGACAAACGAACGTGCCAGGGTTGACAGGTCCTCCATCTGAACCTGAGCACGGATCGACGCCGGCATGAGACTCATCATTTTTCGTGATAACCTGATGTTCTGATAGCCACCTCCTGACGAGCACACAATAGCAGCAAACGTGGTCCACAGGTCCGGTAGAACGACGCTGTCGGGAGCTTCGCGTTGGGCGATATCAAGACCGGTCAAAAGGGAGCGACGAATCCGAGTGATGAGCCAGTCTGCCATCTTCGGATTTGATATCCTGTCTCTCGAAGCCTGGTCAAGGGGGTCCATCAAAAGGCGCATCTCTTCCACAGAAAGACTTGCGGTTTCCATTTTGCGAAAGTATTTGCGCTGAAACAGCCTCAACCGGACTTCCAATGCCTTCTCGTCCACGACATCAAGCCGGGCAACCCTGCGTCGCAGCTCCTTCAGCACGCGGGGTACTCTTGCGGGTATGGGGACGTCTTGATACACATATTCGGCTGCAATGGCTTCTGCAGTAGCCGCTACAGTGGCTTCTCCGGTTGATGCGCTGGCAACGATGGCCTCTTCTGGTGGGGGTTGAATGAAGGGCTTGTCGGCATCGGATTTTTCGAGCCATGAGATGAGCCTCTCGAAGAGCGCCGAGGGACCGATTGACTGCTTCCTCCTCTTCCGTTCCTCCACGGTAGACGGCGGCTCCCACTTGCACTCGCTGGGGACCCAGGCAACGTCAAAGTGCCACAGCGGGGGATACGTGGCCGACGAGGGCATGATGCCCGTCATGCTGCGCTTGCCCAGCGGGCGGCGGCGGCTCTCGAGAGGCCCGGAGTGGGAGCTGATTCGTCGGCATGGCGCGGCAGCGGAAAACTGGCGGTGATAGCGGTCAATGGCCTGGCGAAGCATCGCGTCTGTGATCCAGATGGCGGAGGAGTGAGGAGACACGATCCCCCGGGGCGGGCATTGCGCCGCTGACCGCACCGACATGGCAGCGCTGCGGACGGGTGAATTTGGCGGGATGGCAGTGAGAGTTATCGACGAGCCATTGCAGCTGGCGTCCGGCGTTAGGGAAGCTGTCGCCGCCTGGGTGGGCCGAGCTGCTGCGTGTTCGCGGGTTTTGCTTGCAAGATTCCTCGAAGCTTCACGAGATTCGATGCTCAATTGCGGGCTGTCGGGAAAAACTGTAGTTCCGGTGGGGGAGCCCTGGAATTTCGGGGGGCCTTGGGATTAGGTCATCACAATGGGGTCCTCCGTAACAGAAGAGACGAGACGGAGACTGCTGGTGGTCGGTGCAGGTACATTGCGCCGGGGCACCGGGTACCTTCAATGGACACGGACCACGCACCTCAGTCGCCGTACCCAACGGCCCCCCCAGCATGTCATGTGCGCCGCGCACCAATCGGGATGCGTTGTAAGAGCGAGGTACAGCGCAATAACGGTGACGGGTCCTGTCAAGGAACATGATATCCGAACGCCGTCAGCGTCAGTGACGGTACATGCAACAGTACCCTTAACATTAACCCATCCGCTCCGCCTCACTCGCTCACGCAACCCCCCGGCCTTCCAATCTCGGGGCTCCAAATGAGCTGACGGGGCAGATCCATGCATGGCCGATCCATCCTTGCATATGATGCCGAACGAGCAGCTGCTTCTAGGCTGTTGTTTGCATTCGCTAGCTCGCCAGTTCGCCAACCCGCTTTCGCTTGCCTCCCCTGAGCATCAAAAAGACACTCTGCTCTGTTTCACTGAGCTCTCCCTGAAACCATATTACCAGACAAAGACGCAGCCGAGGCGAGACAGGGCGAACAGCTAAAGAAAAGACACAACAAAGCTCGAAACAAAACAAACAACAAAAGGACGGAGTGGCACACCAGTACTTGTAGCTCACCGCACCTCACCGCATCGCACACCCCCCACGAGACCACCGGAGCTTGCCCACAGCTCGCCAGCCTGCCCTCGCATAAGCTTCGTCCGCATTCATAACCCCCGGCGCATCATCATATCTTCGACTGCCCAGCTCGCTGCGGGCTCCATGGCTCTGCGTGTCCCTTCGTTGTTGCTGTCCAACCTCGAAAGTCGCTTATGAAAGTTGCTGATGGAGCCCGTGGTGTACGACGAGACGCCTCTAGCCGACTACCTCAGAGGTATGCTATGTTGCGGTGCCCGCATTGCTGGCCTGTCTCTCCCCCCTGAGTCGCGCGCATGCTAACAGGTGGACGTTGAACACTCAAAGATGGAGGTAACCTGTCGGAGGCGGAATGGGCTCCTATAGATGGCACTCCCGATCACCGGTCGACGATAACGTCCGATTCCTCGCCGCCTGCGAGCCCGACCCCCTTTGCGCCGTCCGGCCGCCCGTTGGTCAAGGCTCGATTCCGCAATGCTGCTGCCAGCAAGCCGGAGCCCGTCGAGCAGTCACAGGCGCAGCCATTGTCGCTGCAGTCACTGAGGAAAAGCTGCTCTGTATGTTGAACACCTCGGCCGCTCCTTGAAGCTTCACCGCTTCTGCAACCACACCGCAGTAGCTAACTTGGGCCGGATTCGGTTCGTTTAGGCCCTTCTCGCCGCGAGCCTCGATGGCGCAGACAACGCCCGCTTCCTCGAACAATTCAGATATACAATCATAGCCTCGCAGCTGCTCAATGGCCACTCCCTGCCCGGATACCGCCCGCCTGCCCTGAAGTCGCCGGGCTCGACCGCGGATAACAATGACCATCCTCTGCTCTCGACCGAAGGTATTATAGTGTCCGTCGTCGGAGCGCTAGCTCTCGCAGTCTTCCTAAGCTGGGCACTGAGTAGTGCGCCATCGCATGTGACGAAACGACGCCTAATATTGGTGCTTATTATTGCTGCAGCGGCGGTGCTGGTAGGACAAGTCTTTGTGCGACGGCAGTGGCTCCGCTACCGCAGAGAGCAGGCCCTGGCTGAGATTTCCACCTTTATCACGAACTCGCAAAACTTTGACAGCGCAACTGAGGCCACGCTCTCTCTCGTGCAGGAAGTCGAGCTTGTCTCGCGCGGCTATCGAATGTCAGTGCTGGCTTTCCACCCCTTTGCTCCTTGCCGTGGCCCTTCAGCGAGCGCGGCTACATCTGATATGCATGGCGAACTGACACCCTCACAGTAGCGTGCCTCTTCCACCAGTCAGCCGACTCGAGGATCGTACGCAAAGCAGAAAATGCGTTCGGCTGCGAAGGGCGCTCAAGAATGCGTTTGCGGATGTTCTTCAGACGTACAACCAGGTGTCTGACGTTGTCAGGGGTTTCGCTGAGCAGGTGGAGCTGGAGAAGTACTATGACATGTACGACGTGAGCGACTTTGACATTTCGGATTCCCGCCTGGGCTTCAATGCTGCCGAGTTTGACGACCTAGAGTCGCTGAGGACGTTGAAGGTGCTGGCCGCGCGGTTTCATACTACGCGGAAGATGCTCCTCTGTGCTCTGTTGGCTCTGGATGCGAATGGAGAGGTCAAGGATTTACTCCGCTGGACGGCTGCGGTGGAGTCTCTGCAGAGCGTCAACATTTTGACCAAGTCTGTGTTTGAAAAGCTGCAAGGGATACTAAGCGAGGAAGAATGTGAGTGGCCATGTTTTGCATTTGGGTCCAGCCTCTCTCCAATTCGTTTGTTCTTGTCATTGGATCTTTACAAATCTGTGGATTTTGCTGATGAATTCATATAGCATTTCCCTTGCCGCCGACTCCTCAACTGCCTTTGACGCCGGGCAAAGAGCGATGGCGCTCACAGCTGCGGAAGCTCAACTCCATGTCCACAGGAATCCGAGGCTTGCAAGCCAAGCTTCACTTGCTGCGAGAAGAATCCGACAGGGCGCTAGACGACTCCAATGACATCTCCGAAATGGGGCCCAATCTCATGTCGCAATACGACTCTATTGGAGTGGACCTCAGGATGCTTATGGCGGCATGGGAAGAGGGCAGAGCTGCTCTGGCCCAGGGCATTGACAGGAACGAGAAGAGACTCTCGTCCATCAGCACGTTGCTGTCGCCCGCCAGCTCGCTCAGCGGGCTTACAACGATAGGCGAAGGAGGCACAGCAGACGCATTCAAGGCTCTCACGGGAGAATCACCGCCGGCTTCGGACATTCACGACGCGTCAGACGACCAGGAAGTGTTTGAAGCCGTAGCCAAGCCGCGGCCGCGGAGCATGCTGACGCGAGAGGAGAGGATCGCAAAGGTGAAAGAGGAAAGGGAGCAGAGGGCACAGGCACGGCAGCAGCTGGAGGCGACCAAGGGCATGCTGAGGGAGCTGGAAACAGTCATCAGCCTACGACCTCAGAAGCGAGCCAGTGCCCCTGCCCCAGCCCGCGTCTCGCTGTGAACTCGGTCTACGCGAGTCTGGACGACATTACCCTTCCTGCACTTTATGTAACATGTACAGGCGCACAACATCACACGTCACTCATTCACTTTCTGACCTTTTTTTCTTCTTCTTTTTTTCTTGTCTTTCTTGGTTGGTCTACCATTGTTATATTTTGTTTCTTTCAAAGTTCTGGGCAAGACACGGTGTAACGGCTAGGGGTCTGGGGCGATTGGCTGTTTGCTTTTGCATTTGTTGCTGCTCTGTTTCTGTTTTCCTCTTATAGAACTGGTTACTTTGGTGGTGGTGGTGGTGGTGTCTTTATTGTTTCCTTTGTGCTGGCTTGACTTGAACTTAGACAAGGCGTTTCACGGGGATCGAAACGCAACGCACTCGCTTGTATATAGCTGAACATTTTTGGCCGAGCGCCATCATCTCTCAGCACGTGGCTATAGGAATGCGATGGATGAGATGATGGGCCACCAAATTGACTGCGCAGATGCCATATTTCGACGAATCTACCTGTACCTTGTAAGGCGAGTTGAGCATCGATTCTCCGTGTCCGTCTTGTCACTCTGCTCCTCCATTCTGCCTCCCCCAATAGAAGAGCAGCGCTCCGTCACGCTTGATCATACCCAATACCGGATAGTGCTCCCTCTCTCACTTCCATGATAAGCCTCCAGCAAATGAATGATGAAATGGAACCAAAACTGGGCGCGCTACCTCGAGCGTGAGCCCGGCGGCTATGAGACAGCATGTACCGTTCCCAGCACTAAAGTAGGGGAAAAAAAAGGTGCTGCCCCGCGTCAAGTTGGCGCCTCCGGCCCAAGATCAAAACGCGTCTCGACGCCGCCCACAAGCTTCGTGTTAAGTGCTTTTTCTGCCTGCTATTCCCTGGAGCTTCACCTCCACCAACGCCGTGCATTTTGCCTTCTTTCTCTCTCTTTTCCACCAACAAAAACCAGCCACTTTGACTTGACTCTCTCTCTCTTTCTCTCTCCATCTCTCTCCTCCTCTACTGCTCATTCGCCTCTGCCTACCAATTCTTCTTCTCTCTTCTTCTTCTTCTTCTTCTGCCTTTCGTCTCTCTCCACTGGGATACTCACAACTCTACTACAGCCAGTACGTTCGGAAGCCCTGCGTTGCGTGCATCCCCTCGATTCTTCTTCTCCTCCTCCTCCTCCTCCTCCTCCTCCTCTTCTTCTTCTTTTAGGTCTCTAGACTAGATAGAAAAAGAAACTGACACACGCGGCAGAAATGTTGGAAGCACGGTTGGAACAGGCTAGCATCCTGAAAAAGGTAAATTGAACACGATCCCACGCCCTTCCTCCTCTCTCTCGCCGTTTCGGTGCCGCTGACGAGAGGGAACAATCGCACAGGTGGTCGACGCCATCAAGGACCTCGTGCAGGACTGCAACTTTGACTGCAACGACTCGGGCATCGCGCTGCAGGCCATGGACAACTCGCACGTCGCGCTGGTGTCCATGATGCTCAAGGCCGAGGGCTTCTCGCCGTACCGATGCGACCGCAACATCGCCCTCGGCGTCAACCTGACGTCCCTGACAAAGGTGCTGCGCGCCGCCCAGGGCGACGACATCCTGACGATCAAGGCCGAGGACGCCCCGGACGTGATGAACCTGCTGTTTGAGAGCAGCGGCGAGGACCGCATCAGCGAGTACGACCTCAAGCTCATGGACATTGACCAGGAGCATCTGGGCATTCCCGAGACGGAGTATGCGGCCACCATCACCATGCCGTCGGCCGAGTTCCGGAGAATCTGCACAGATCTGGCGGCCATGTCAGAGTCGGTTGGCATCGAGGCCTCCAAGGACGGCGTCAAGTTCTCTTGCAACGGCGACATTGGCAACGGCTCCGTCACCCTGAGAAGCCACACCTCCATCGACAAGCCCGAGCTCAACGTCGACATTGAGCTGACGGAGCCCGTGTCCCTGACCTTTTCGCTCAAGTACCTGGTCAACTTCTGCAAGGCTGCCGCCCTGTCCACCCAGGTCAAGATCTGCCTGTCCAGCGAGGTGCCTCTCTTGGTTGAGTACAACCTCTCTGGCAGCAGCTACCTGCGCTTCTACCTCGCGCCCAAGGTTTGTACAAGCTCTTGTCTCTTATCAGATTGTCCCATGCTGACCTCGCCGAATCAGATTGGCGATGACGAGTAAAACAGCTACACCCACGCCCCCCGAACTTCAGACGACCCAACACGTAATCTTTGCCAAAACACCAGACCGGGCTGTACCTGGGCAGCAACCCACGTAGCTCCCTCCGGTACGGCTTGGTCGACCACCCCCGACGCTGACAGAAGAGAGGAGAGATGGATATTCAAGAATATTGTTTCACGGGCCTCCTTCTTTGTTTATTCTAATCATGATATGTAGCAAAAGAGAGAGAAACCAAAAGAATGAGATGAGCACGCTGCTTGGCTTTAGTCTACCTTGCCCTGCCGAAAATTGACCCCCGAGATGCCTCGCCGCGTTCCTCCAAGTCGCTATGCCCCGTTGACAACCCATCTTCGCTCTCTTCGCCTTGACGCCTGAAGAGGCCCCGTTTCTTGTGCTTATCCGAACCGAGACGCTCACACTTCATACTCGTACAAGCGGCTTAGAGCGGATCGTAGCTTCGGTCCTCGGCGGGGCGTTTTTCCTACCCCATACGATGCCGTTGTCTCTGGCGCCCTTTTTGTTACCCTTTCGAAATGTGCCCTGCCTTTGCTTTTGACTTTCGTCAATACATGGGTAAAAATGCTTCATCTGTGACCAAGCGGTAGGTTAATGTTCTTATTTTGTCTTTCCCTAATGCTAAACTGTGGCATACCCTCCGCTGACGGCGGGACCGCCTCTGGCTCACATGGGGATCCCGGCAATGCCACTTCATTATTCATCAACTTTTTTTCCCTGGCATTCTCAGCGAGTCTGACAACCACCTTGAAAACATCAAGACGCCTGGACCAGAACTTCCCCCTTTCTTTGACCATTAATACATACTTACGTTGCTCCTTTGATTTCAAATCTGTTGATTTTCCATTCGTTCTTACCATTGTTTTCTAATAAGTGCATTTCAGAGCTTCTGCAGAGCAACTGTTGCTGCCTTATCCTCCGCAAATCGGCGTCACACTAAATAGTGTCACTTATCTACTGCGCTATCCCTCTGAGTTGCACACGACACAACAAGACGAAGAACAATGTCTTCAGAGTTACAGCTCGCGCCGCGGGTGCTGGCAGTCGCCAGCCATGTAAGTCTCCAAACGAGAGCATTTCAGTGTTTTCCATCACATGATGAGGTTTTGACTGACTTGTGGCTTCATGTGTAGGTTGTCTCAGGGTATGACTGTGAAAATATGAAAAGCAAGCGTGGAATTGGCCTAGTTCCATGGGATTCTATCGCGAAAGGGGGCCATCTTGGGTTAACGAGAGAACATCTCACAGCAACGTGGGCAACAAGGTCGCCGTCTTCGTGCTCCAGTCATTAGGATTCGATGTCGCGGCCCTGAACACGGTGCAATTCAGTGAGTCTCTCCCCCCCTTCTCTCAAACAACAAAGAAGATGACAGGGGAAGAAGAATACCCTCAACTCGAAAGATGAAAAGAGCCATCAGCTGACGCAACCGCCTGCGTGTGCTCTTCAACCCAATCAGGCAACCACACAGGCTACAGACAATGGACGGGCACGAGGGCCACGGCGCAGGAGATCACGGACCTGTACGCCGGCCTGAAGCAGTCGTACCTAGACGACTTCGACATGATGCTCTCGGGCTACATCCCCGGCGCCGAGGGCGTCACGGCGGTGGGCGCCATCGCAAGGGGGCTCAAGGACAAGTTCCGGGACGTGCCGGGCAAGTTCTTCTGGGTGCTGGATCCCGTCATGGGGGATAACGGGAAGCTGTACGTGGCGCCGGAGGTTGTGCCCGCGTACAAGGCGCTTTTGCCGTATGCGGATCTGATACTGCCGAACCAATTCGAGGCAGAGTAAGCTCCCCCCCAAATGTTTTGATGATACAAGGATGTCGTCGTTGCTGATACAAACGCCCTGCAGGCAACTCTCCGACGTCAAGATCGTGGACATGGCCAGCCTCACGCAGGCCATCCAGGTGCTGCACGAAAAGTTCCGCATCCCGCACATCATCATCACCTCGGTCAGCTTCACCACGCCCGACCACCCGCCGGCGCACCTCTCCGTCATCGGGTCCACCATGACCTCGGACCGGCGCGCGCGCCCCTTCAAGATCACCTTCCCCTCCATCGACTGCTACTTCTGCGGCACGGGCGACATGTTTGGCGCGCTCATCACCAGCCGCGTGCGCGAGGCCGTCGAGGCCGTGCCCGGGCTGAGGGCGCGCGCGAGCTGGCTCAGCGACGACGACGTCGCGGCCACGGAGCTGCCGCTCGCGAGGGCCGCGGAGAAGGTGCTCGCGAGCATGCACGAGGTGCTGGCCAAGACGAGGGACGCGATGCCCGCCGTCATGGAGAGGACGTGGGCCAGCCTGAGGGGTGATGAGGCGGATAGGGGGGACGAGAAGAAGGCGCACTATGTCAAGTCCAAGGCGGCGGAGCTGCAGCTGGTGACCAACCTGGATAGCTTGCGGAGCCCGACGACGAGGTTTTCTGCGACGAAGATTTAGGTTCGGGGGAGGGGAAGAAGCTGGTGAAATGGGAATAGATGGGAGGAGGGGAGCGGGCGGCGTAGAATATTTTATCCTTTTATTTTTGTTTTTGTTTTTGTTCCTAGGTAGCATCCATGTTATATAGACCAAAACGGGGATTGTAGTCTTTTCATCTCTAATGCTCGAATTTCCGTCCGAAACCTTGGATCCGCCCACCATGCCATGTTCTATCATATCAAAGTCCCATATCGTGTCGTTGTGTTTATTGCAATCAATTCGCCCTAGTTCTTGCCCGTGCTTCCAAAGCCACCAGCACCCCGAACGCTCTCCTCCAGCTCCTCCACCTCGACCACATCCGGCGTCACGATCCTCTCGAGCACGAGCTGCGCGATCCGATCGCCCTCCTTGATCTCGTAGTCCTCCTCGGCGTGGTTGAACAGGAGGACCTTGACGGGGCCGCGGTAGTCGGCGTCGATGACGCCCGCGCCGGTGTCGATGAAGTGCTTGGAGGCGAGGCCCGAGCGGGGAGCAATACGGCCGTCTGCGTTTTCCACACTCACGTTAGCCACGAGAAAACAGCTTTACGTTGGGTGGATATATGTATGTATGCAAACAGGACATTCGAACTTACACGTTCCCGCAGGCACAGCAATGCTAATGTCGGTATCGACAAGCGCCTTTCCCCTCGCCGGCACGACCGTGTCCTTGGCCGCGTACAGGTCGTAGCCGGCGGCAAAGGCGCTGCCGCGGGTGGGCAGCCGGCCCTGCGGCGAGAGCTTCTTGACGTGCAGCGGGACGGCGGCCTCGACGACGGACGACATGTTGTTCTTTTCGGCTACAGCAGCGGGCGCTTCTGTTTGTTCTTCTGCTGCTGGAGGAGGAGGAGGGGGTGCAATTGGGGCGGTGGCGTCTTGGGCGGTGGTTTGGGCGGTGGTTTGGGCGGCGTCGTTGTCGTCGGTCCGGATGCGTTTGGCGGGAGGGGAGGTTGTGCCGTTTTCGGGAGCTGCTGAGGACATGGTTTTGTTTAATTTGGAAGTCTAAGTGATGAGATTGAGAAGAAGGCTCGCAGTAAGGGCAATGCAAAGATTGAAGAGAGTAGGCAATGTAAAACAGAAAAGGGCAAGATTGATGATGCTCTGAGAGGGAGAACAAAGGGCAGTTAATGAATCCAAGACAATGGGGCTTTTCAGCTTACCTCTATGTATTGGAACTGCAAGGATGACCTGGTAGTTGTATGCGAATGGCCAGCTGAAGGAAGTCGGTGAGAGTTTGTTGGACGGGAATCGAGAAAGTGATTGGAGGGGCGACGCGACGCGTCTAAACTCTTGTGGTGGGGGAAAAAGAGACGAGCAGACGGAGGGAATAATTGGGCCAATTGAGGCGGGGCGGCTGGACTGGGCAGTGTGTAAGACGAACCAAGTCCAAGTCCCTTGCATCGGGGCATTTGAAGCAGCTGGACACGATTGGCCTGGCTGAATGTTACGAGACATGGTGTTTTTTTATGTGTTGTCAGGCAGTAAAGGTTATCAATCACCATCATGACATGTAGTACTAGCGGTAAAGTAATTGGAGGCAGTGTGTAGCTGGTGGTCATCAGTTCGTTCAAACACGGCTAATCGTCGAGCTCCCGCCCAAAATCAACCAGCCGGATCTTGGTCGCATCCCGCGGGTGAAACTGCGCAACGTGCGACCGAATCAAAAACCGCGCCGCCGCCGTCTCGTGCGGCAGCTTCACGTACGCGTCCGAGCTGCTGCCCTTGGCCTCGACCAGCCGGTTGAGCAGCTCCTCCGTCAGCTGCCGCATCTCCGCGCCGGCAGCCGAAGCCGCGTCCCGCTGCTGCTGCTGCTTTGTTTTCCTTCCGTCACCATCGCCGTCGCCGTCGCTGGGACCCCAAATCTCGTCGATCCGGCGCTGGTTCTTGTCCTTGTTGATCTCGCCCTTTGGCTTCTTCAGCTTGCCCTGCGCGTTGAACCCGGCGGCGAGATCCTGGGCATCAATGTCCATCATCTCTCCTACCACGGGCCCGCCCAGGGCTTCCGCCGCGAGCATCACCGCCAGGTGGTCGTCTATGAAGCGGTTCAGCGCCTTCATCAGCTTGCTCGTCTCCTTGTTGTAGTACTGCCTCTTCTGCCGCAGCTCTTCGATGCGCTTGCGCGCCTCGTCCTCTGGTCTCGTGGTCGCCCCCGAATCGACCTCGGCATGCAGAGTCTCAATTCTCCGCTTGAGGGCTTCGTTGAGGAGCCGGTGGTCCTTGAGCGCAGCTTCATCGTCCTTCAGCCGCCTCTGTTCCCGCTCGGTTGCCTCCGTCTGCGAAGCCAAGAACGCCTTGGACTCCTCGATCGTTCGGTGCGTCTTGCGCAGCGCCAGCAGCGCCGGCAGAACCGATCCCGGGAACGGCAGGAAGGGCTCGGAGCCGGTGACCTCGTCAAAGGCCAGCTTGAGGACCCGGGCCTGGCCAGCGGCGGTGCTGGGCGTCTGGTGCTCTGCAGAGCGCAACTGTGAGTGTCTGGCGTTAGACGGCCGTCCGTGATGCGGGTGAAAAGCGCCGAGCGCCCATGGCTTATAGCTCCCTTACCTCGTCTAGCTGAGCCTCATATTCGCGGACTTTTCGCTGGAGCTCCTTGAGCGTGTGATCGATGCTTGTGGCATGCGCCTGGGCTTCCGAGCTGCTGCGCGGCCTGTCCTCCATTTGCCTGGATGCTTCCGATGCGCGTGATCCCCGTCGTTTGGCCCTGCTCTACCATCCATGGAACTGGACAAGCCCAACCTGGAGCAAGGCACGAGCTCCACAGTTTGCAGACTGTGTGGCCCCAGCCCCTGCAGCAGCCCCATCTACAGTACTGATGAGGCTCCGGGGGATCATTGATGCAACGAATCGCCCTACGGAACCATGCGGTGGAAAGAAAACACCGGAATGATCGCCATACAAAAAGCACCAAATACAGTGTCAGCCAGTCCGGTGTTTTTCTTCCACCACTTGGGAACCCATGCCGCCCCCATCTCCGCACTGTGCAGCCCGTGCCGCGCCTTGTCCTTGGCGGCCTTGTCAGCCTAGTGTCGCGCATCGTGTCGCCCAATCGGGCCGGTCACGTGATGCTCCAGCGGGCAGCTGCCGCCAGGGAGGCGTGGGCGCTTTTTGCCGACCCCGAACTTTCTTCCTCCAGCCGCTGCTTTTCTCCTCTCCATCATCCCTCCTGCGACGCGCCACCTCGTCGCCATCGATCCGATCGCACCAGCGTCTGTGACCTGAAGCCACCGCCAACACCCGCCCCGCGAGAGTCCGCTTCATCCTGCGTCCCAGCGCCATCGCACGTGTGACTCGTCCTCGTGTCTCCCTTAGTCCCTGTTCCTGGTTCTGTTTCTGAACAAGTCGGGCCCTGCTTGGAACCTCGCAGCCTCGCCTAGGAAGCAGCATTCGCGATTCTTCTGTCTCTTTCCGCCCTTCGGTTTCAGCAACATCCAGCCGGAAACCGCCACATTTGGCAACTCCGTGCAGTCCATCGCAATTGTCGAGGCGATTCGCCCCTCCCGATCGATACTAACCTTTTTTTACCGCGCGAGGTGCTGGTTGCAACTTCGAGACTCGTCGGGTCTTGCCAGGTGGAAATCAAGGTTTGAGCTGAGCGCATTGTCTCTCCATTCTCTGCTTTCGAGGCACCTGTCCCAGTACCGATAACTCGCTGCACCATCCTCTTCACCGTCCACCACTCTGTCACGAGCCACTCAGTTGTCATCATCGCCTGGGCAGCGCCCTCCTTGCGACGCCACCAAAAAGTCACATCACGAATCCTGCATACACGAGACAGCCGATCCTATCTCACCACCGATTCCAGCCACTACACCAGCACGTTTTCCTTCGAAAACCCCCTGAGTGTAGATAAGAGACAATCGAAACAAGGAAAAAATTGAAAGAACAAGAGAACAAGGACGCAACGTCTTTGGTCATCGCCAGTTAGAAGACGATCTCTAATTCGTCCCAATATCTCTGTGACCACACTGTTCCCTCTGCCCGCGGAAGGAAGCAATCATCCCCAAGGACGACACAATGTCTACCTCACCCCCACAACCGACTCAATCGGCCAAGCGCCCTCTCGAAGAGCCATCCTCGCCCTCCCGAGCGACGGACCAGCCCGAGGCCAAGCGACCAGCCCTGGACAAGACGTCAAAGAGCGATGAAGAGACGGAAAAGCTCGAGATCCCGCCTGAGCTGCCCGTCGAATCAGAGGAGGAACAAAACGGCGAGGACAACACCAATGGCGTCGCCGGAACGGAGTCGTCCGTCACCGCAACCGACGCGGGCACCGACGTCAAGGCCACTCCCACTGTAGCAATCTCGACGGCGTCGTCCTCTGCCGTGGCCGCCTCGGCTGCCGCCCACGACGAGAGCTCATGGATCCATATTCGAGCAGTCATCTCTAGTCCGGAGGCTGCCACCATCATCGGCAAGGGCGGCGAGAACGTGTCCAACATTCGAAAAATGTCCAATGCCAAGTGCACCGTCAGCGACTATCAAAAGGGAGCCGTCGAGCGTATTTTGACTGTTAGTGGCATCGTTGATGCAGTTGCCAAGGTGCGTCGAAGGAACTCCCCCCCCCCCCTCTGTCCCCTTCTTCCTGCTTCTCCCCCCCCCCTCCTTTGATATTCTCGACATGTTGGTGAGTGCGAGTCTAACCCTCTGCTTTCTCTTCCTCTTCCCTCCATGAATAGGCCTTTGGTTTGATTATCCGAACACTGAACAACGAGCCCCTCACCGAGGCGTCCACTGCCTCTTCCAAGACCTACCCCCTCCGCCTTCTGATCCCCCACATCCTGATCGGCTCCATCATTGGCAAAGGCGGTTCTCGCATCCGCGAGATCCAGGAGGCCTCTGGCGCGCGACTCAACGCCTCGGACTCTTGCCTTCCCATGTCGAGCGAGCGCTCCCTTGTGGTGATGGGCGTTGCCGACGCGGTGCACATTGCGACGTATTATGTCGGCAGCACTCTGCTTGAGCAGCTCAACGAACGGTTCGGCGGCCCGGCCGCGTCCGCTTATGCGACCAGGAGCGGCGCCCCCGTGGGATCCATTCCCGGCGGGATGCAGGTGGTGCCCTACAGCCCGCAGCCGGCATCGGGACACTACGGGCGTGCGGAGAACTACGGCCGGCACCAGGAACGCCGACCTCATCACATGCCCCCGGCGCCGTA